AAAAAAAGGAGCTTTTTGGAAAGATTTGGAGGAGCTCACAGGCCCAAAGAAAAGCTAAGGACCAACTTGAAAATGATAGAGCAGGGCAGGGACTAAGGTGTCATCTCATCAGGGTCCACTGTCAGAATGAATCAGCTCCAGCCATCTTCAGGCTTTATGTCTCTCTGCTAAAGATCAAATTCCTAGAAGAGAGTTGGATTGGCCAGCTTTGGCTGTGCACCTGCCCTGTGGCTAGGCAACTTTACTGGCAAGCACCCAATGATGGAGGGCAGGAGTGTGAGGGAGAAAGATATTTTACCAAAAGAAGGTGCTGTGGATGACGGACAGGCCAAACATCAGACATCCCTTCCAGGAAGACTTCCCCAATGGCCTGCTCAGGGAGACAGTCCTGAGGCTTACTTGGATTTGAGAGGCAGGGGCCAGAGGTGGGCTTAGCAATTCAGTGCAAAGCTGATAGTGCTGGACAGTACAATATTAGAAAATGTTTCATTATAAAACTGGTGAAATTCTTGTTGAAGAAACTTGCAAATCACAGAGAAGTCGAGAAAAGGGAAGTTTAAAAGCCATCTATAATTCTATTAGAGATAACCACAGTTAATTTTTCAAGGTGTTTCTCTCCTTCTATGGGTTATTCTGGACAGAATTGAGGTCACACTGTGTCCATAATTCCATATTTAATGTCTAAGCACTGTATACTGATCCAGCAACGGTCAGAGGAGTGTCTCTGTAGCATTGGCCGAGTGGATGGACTTGAACTGGAGCTGGTTTACCCAGTGGAAGAGGCAGAGGGGACCTTCTTTGGCCCACGGTTCCACCAACACTGGGGACCAAGCAGGTGTTGCCCAGCCTGGGAAGCTGCCAAAGCCTGCCCTCCACCCAGGGGGTTTCTATCTGGATGCCAGCCAAGGTGGATGGGAGCTTCCCTGGAGACAGTCCTGTGTAAGGAAGGGCCCCCACCTCCACACTAGGGTCCACAAACACTCCTTGTGTTTATGCTTCAAGGAAATGTGACTTTAGACCATTTTCATGGGTTTTAACAAGTTCTGATGAATTTCAACATTGTCCTTCTGACACGAATAGATGACATTTCCATCTGCCCTTTAAGGAGACACTATCTTTGTTTAGTCACTTGAAATGATGTGAAGAATATGCAGGCAGTCCCCAGGTTACGAATGGGATATGTTCCTCAGAACGTCTTTAGGTCAGATTTTTGTGTAACTTGGATCCCTGATGAACAGTGCATATGTGGTGATAGTAACAATACCGCAATGGCTCATATGTGGTAATAATAATATGGTGTCATACTGTAGTAATAATAATAGTTCTGTACTGTAATCATACGTTACAGAAACTATTGTGCTCCTTTTAAATCAAACAAACAACATAAAAACAAACTCACACACAAAGTTTAGGTAGGAGATAGGAGAAATGTCAAAAAAGAATATTAAAGGTTAACACCTAATGTTGCATCAATCTCTTGCTTACTGGAAGGTCTATTTATTTTTTAATTTATAAAGAAAAGAAATTTATTTATTATAGTTATGTAGGCTGATAAGTCTATTGTCTTTCTCTTTTTTGTTGTTTTTCTTTACTCAGAAACCATCTATCTAGAATAAGTCTATTGTCAAAGGGCCACATCTGGTGAGAGCCTCCTTGCTGGCTGAGACTCTTGAAGAGTCCTGAGGCCCTTCAGGCAATCAGTTGGCTGGAGGGCTGAGCACAGGGGTATTTTTGATTCAGGAATGTAGCTGACATTCATCGGAAGATGATGATGGAGACGGTGCTGGAGAGGACGAAGTGGGTGCTGGAGAGTCAGGATTTGATTCTGTTGCTGGGGGAGGGGAGCTGACCACTAAAGGCAATTTCTTGAAAAAAGTATCTAGGGTTGTTTGCACAGATTTTTTCTTTTTTTCATCATAAATGGCCTCGTAGCAGCTGATGTTCTCAGTAACTGCATGGTAAACCTTTGTAAACCGCTCACTGTTAGGATCTTGCTTCTCAAGCTTAGCGAATCCTGCTTAAATGAGACAAAAGACTTCAGCTAATACTTTTGCCATAAATTTTTTCGGCTCTGGATCTTCTGATTGTTCACGTGCTTGTGTTTCTATCAGCGGCTTCTCTGTCTACCTATGAGACTAGCCTCACCCATAAGGACGCTGCATCAAAGAACCACTTACATCATGCAGGTTTGTTTATAGGCGAGGGAGAAACTCGTTCCCAAATTATTAATTTAATTATTTAATTATACATCTTCATTATGGGGGGCCTTGGGAGCCCATTTGTAAGTACAGAACGCTGTTAAGTTGGGTCGTCCGTAACCCGGGACTGCCTGTACTTCATGATGAAGAGTAAAATCACTAGGCAGGTGAGATAATGGAAGAATCCACATTGAAATATAGATACAACCATCTTAATAATGTGCCATGTATATACAGATGTGTGTATTTAAGCTCTCGAACTTGTGTACTTAACAATCTCAAGCTGAGAGCCTGTCTATTTCAACCTTTGCTGACATTTGCTAAGGGATAGAATTCAAGGTGATCTAAAGAGTTCAGAAGTCTATAACTTGGAGCTAGAGAAATCTGCACAATTCCTGCAATTAACTCTCAGGACAAAGTAGGCCATGTTCCTATTAACAGAGCGTACCCCTCAGAATTAAAGCACAGTGGAATCGCTCTTGAAAGAGGTCAGAATTTGTCCACAGAGGAGTATTATTCAACTTTGCTTTTTGACTCATTCCACGTGACCCAAGGGGCCAGCCTCTCATTCTAATACCTCCAGGGACACTTGTTTTCTTGGCTAAGACACTTTATCTGCACAAAAAGGGGCTTCCTAGCTCAAGGCTGGGGAACAGGGAGACACTGGGAATGCCACACTTGGTCTAGTGGTACGGGGACTTCCACTTAGGAGGATCTTACCTCTCCAAATACTCCTTCTCCGAGCCTTTCATGAGCTCCTTTACTTCCTCCATTTCTAGTTATTTTTCCTCGGGTGTGTGCCTCAGCCCTCTTCTTCCATCATGCATGACCTTGCCAGCTCCCAGGGTTCCAACTACCTATGGAATTGGGGCTCCCTAATTTACATCTCTAGCCCAGCTTTCCCTCAAGCTCCAGCCCCCTTATCCACAGGATACTCCATGTCTCTACCTTAAATTGTCATTAGCACCTCCTGTTCACCAGCTCCCCCAAACTTACTTTCTTCCTGTGTTTCTTGTCTCAATGGCACCATGAGTTTGCAAAGCTAAGAAACCTGGAAGTCATTACTGATCCCCCCTCACTCCATCCTCATCCTGTTTAATTCACTTATTGGGTCATTTGGTGAATAAAACTTAAGCACACACTATGTGCCAGGCATTTTGTTAGGTATCTACTGGGGAGCAAAAATAGACAAGGTCCCTGCCCTCCTGTCTCTGGTTTGGAGAAACATACAAATAATTTATAAAAGAAATGTACACTGAGTTATGAGAATGTTTAGTTTGGGAGACAGGGAAGGCTTCCCCAAGGAAGGGACATGAAAGAGGAAAGTTGTAGGATGCCACAGGAATTAGCTAGATCAAGGTCATGGGGGACAGACAGAACAGCGTGTAAGTCCTGAATGAATCAGAAGGAGTGAGGAATGGCCTTCAAGGAAGGCCACTGTGGCTGCAGTGTAATGAATTATAGTAATACTGATGGGAGAGGAAGGCAGAGGCCCTACTGTTCAACACCTCGTTAGGATTTTGGTCTTTTCAGAGGACAGAGAAGACTTTGAAGACTGTTAAAGCAGGTGTGGGGAAGGCTGCGTGGTGACAGATTTATACATGAAAGTCACCCTGGCCACAATGTGGAGAATGGATTAGATGCGGCCTGAGGGCAGGTGGGGGAGGCAGTCCGGCTGGCTTCCTCCTGGCCAGTCTCATGGCCATGAGACTTTTGTTGTCCCTTGTCTTGCAGCAGAAGACACCTCTACTGTTGTCCCCTGGCAATTGACCTTCAGTGTGGCTGTCTGATTATCTTTCAACTTCCGTCAACAGAAAAGAATATTGACTATGCTTCATTGGGTTCAAAGTAAAGTTTAAAGTCCTTAGTTTGACCTACAAGTCCCTTCACAGCTGGCCCTTGTCTCCCTCTCATGTCACTTTTAACTACCTGTGATCAAGCGCCTTGTGCCTTAGTCCATGCAGGGGGATTTGAGAGCTGGACAGCGGTTTGAGGGGAGAACCAGAGGAGGAGAAGTACCGAGGGCCAGGTCTGAGGCCACGTCAGAGGTCCATGATGTTGACCCAACTGAGCACAAAAGAAAGTGGCCGAAGTGAGGGTTCCAGGCAGTTGGCTACAAGAGAATCAAGGGCAATCACATGGGAAGCCCTTGGGGACAAGCCATCTGGAGGCTTGGGTGCGAGACCAGAGGTGTAGTTGCTGGGAGGTGCTGACCAAGGACAGGACCCTGAGCACTGAGAGATGGGAGCTTAAGGGCAGGACACCCTCCCCACCCCACCACCACCAGTGTAGAACTAAGGATAACCAGGATAACCATGATGCCTGCCAGTAAAGAACTGGCAGGACTCAGAGACTTGGGACTCAGAAGGTCAAGGACAAAGGCTGATGTGAGGATGAGCTGGTAGGAGGAGAACCATGAGAATGTTCTTTACATTCTACCTGCCTGGAGCCAGAATGAATCCCATAGTAAAAGGAATAACGCTAAGTCTCCAGTCAGGGCTAGAGCTGAAAGGGTGTGGAGAAAGGGAGCCAGGCAGCTCCTGCCATCGCCCACACCAAGTTCAATAAGCACAGTCACAGCCGTGGCTTGTCCTCAGAGCACACACAAGTCAAGGACGTTCAAGGTTAACCCCATGAACCCCAAAGAGCTGTGATTTCTTGGGAGACCCATCCCCAAGGCTTCAAGGCTAGTGAAATTTCGACATCAGTGTGGTTCTGAGAGTAGCTTTGTAACTCTAAGGAGGGGCTCTGAAGTCCATGCCTGTGTGCAGTTCACATGGCAACCAAAAGACTATGACATACTCAGAGGGCGGTGAGGTCATAGAACACAAGCTTTAAAGTAAGTGAATCATGTGGGCCTCATTTATTTTTAAAAGAAACTTCTGAGAAGAGCTTAGAACAATTTTTCCCCCCGAGTGCCATTTCCCAAAGGTACTCACAAAACAATAAGGTGTGACTGTAATGGCTGCACTGAGTTGTCTTCTGGACAGTGTTAGAAGGGACATAAAGAAGGTGGACAGAGAACTGAGGCAATTGAGATGCATCGACGAGTTCAGCACACGATGCCTGTGCGACTTGTACATGCACCCGTACTGCTGCTGCGACCTGCACCCGTACCCGTACTGCCTGTGCTACTCCAAGCGATCGCGCTCCTGTGGCCTGTGCGATCTCTACTACCCGTGTTGCCTGTGTGACTACAAGCTTTACTGTCTTCGCCCATCTCTCAGAAGTTTGGAGAGGAAAGCCATTAGAGCCATAGAGGATGAAAAGAGAGAGCTTGCCAAGTAAAATAACCTATTTTTAGACTTTTACAGTTGGTATCTTAGCCTTGTAAGTTGGAGTAAGGGGGAAAAAATGTGATAGTTGATACTTCAACAAAGATTAAAAAGGTTCAAGATAATGACTCTGGTGACTTAGGAAAAATTTAAGGAAAGAAGAGTAAACAAGTCCATGATGGGAATTGTAAGATTCTCAAAAGACGATGTAATGATGCCGATTGGCAAGGTCATTGGTGGTTTAGAGCGGGAGTGCCAACGTGATAAATAATGTGGCTTTAATGAGGGGAAGAAACAGGGGGAGTCATTAAAAAGCCATTGGAAGCAGCAAACTAAACATTTTTCCTGGTTGTAAGTAAAGTGATTTGAGTATATTTGGACTTACAGAAAATGACTACAGGAGAAGTAATAATAATTGATCAAATCCTTAATGTTTGCCAGAGGCTTTAAGAGCAGGGAGCAAATTGAACAATAGAGGCGTTTCCTTGGCTTTGTAGGAACACTTTTCTCCCATCCCCCTACTCCAGACAGCTCAACACTCCTCTGGAGTTGTGTCTATCGTGTCGGCTCCCAATCCAACTCTAGCAAGGGTTGTGCAGATAAACTAGAGGACCAAGTCACAGCTTTCAAAATAGACCTGAAAGAGTTTTTAATTGAATTGGGTAATTTTTAAAAGCCACTTTTTAGACATTTTGTTTTTAATTACATTTTCTTTTATGCCTGGAGGAAGCTTTCCTTCTCTAACTCTCTACATACGCCATTTAGTCCGTTACATTGATGAAAAAGCTGGGTGAAAGCACTGTCCCTGGTTAGATAAATGATGTACATCCATACATATATAATATGTGTATATGAATATGAATAATATGTAGATGTAAAAAGGATTGATGAAGATTTTTACATATTGATGTATTAAGTGCAAAAACAAGGTGCAGAAAAACTGTTCAATATGTACTATTTTTTAAAAGATGGGCATAGACAAATAGATAAGTAGGTAGGTAGGTAGATGGAGAGAGATAGTCATTTCACAACAGTTGATAGTCATGTCTCATTGGAAAGGACAATAGGACAATTATTGCCAAGGTCATCGGACAACCAAAGGTCAGTAACGGACCTCCCATAGTCTGTGATGGGCCTATCACCTATAAATTCATCTACCCTCTTTTTGAACCAGTGCTGATTTTTATTCTGTAAGGAATCAAGTTATGTAAATTGCTCATATTGTGAGGCAGGGACTCTTTTTAATATTTAGTCCAAATTAAGGATCCCTTGTGAGCAGACCTGTGTCGACTCTCCCCATATCTTTGAGTACTGCATTAGCCTTGATCCAAGCCCTTTCAGCCTTGGTCTTCTGGCTGCTCCGCTGTTCCCAGATTCTGCAGGGATTCTGTGAAAAGTCCTCTCTGTCCTTTACCATCTGGGCTCTTCGTACCTCCTTCGGGCAGCCCTGTGTCTTGGCGTGCTGTAGACACAACTTCAAGCTTAATTCTCGGCAGTGTAGTTGAGACAAGAGGTAAGGCTTTCTCTGGTTTGTGATGCTTTTCCTGACAGTGTCTGGGTCTTTGCCAATTTTTTTCTGCACCTGTGGCAGTATGTGAAGCTGGTGATGTCTTTACATTAATTCCTGGATCTCTGAACCGATAACTCCAAGTCCATTTTAGAAATGACCTCAGGCTTACCCCCTTTTATCTCTTCCCAGCCACTTGTCTTCCAATTCATACCACCTTGTGAAATGTCTGTGCTCTATTTCTGACAGCTTGACATTTCACTATCCAGAAGGGCTTAGTGTCACTTGCAAACCTAAATATTCAATTTTCCTGAATATGGGTGAAAATGTTAAGCCACGATCCTAGCCCCAATCCCAGAGGACTCCCACTGCTAATATTTGTTCTGCAAATGAAATGCCTCTCTTTTCTTATCTCAAAGCTGGCTCCTGATTCATGACTATACAGACCAAAAAATATCATGTTGATTCAATTTTTTAAAAAATAATCTTTAGTGTGAAATCTTGCCCAAGGCCTTTGGAGTTTAGAACTCATATTCACATGACCTTTCACCCCTTCAAAGAATGCCAAGGGGTTGGTTAGTTATGACATATCCTTTCAGATGTCAGGGTGTGTTGTCCAGAAGGTTCTTTGCCCAAAGAGAAAGTAAAGACTCCCTAATCTGTTGCCTCCACCCCATTGAAATTGTTTTTCTGTGTGAGAATCAATCTGCTCTGTCTCTGGGTGTTCCTTTAAACTGGCAAGTAGCCTTGGCCAACGTCCCCCCATACATTTCTCGAGCATTCCTGAGCGTATGTTATTTCTGATGCACATGTATGTGTGTGTGTGTGTGTGTGTGTGTGTGTGTGTGTGTGTGTATGGTGTAGAAGTTCCAATCCATTTCCATTGTTCACTGAGCAGCTACTTCAAAGGACCCTTAGGTGGTGTCTTCCTTAGTACAGACCCAAGTAAGCACTTTTGTTGTGTTAGCTTCTTTAATATTTCGTTTTCCTCCCCCAGTTGGCTCTTGCACCCCAAGCACTAGCAGTGTCCTGACTCTTCCTTCCTCTGCTGGATTTAGGACTAAGGGAACCCAGTTGGTTTCCTTTGTGAGAAGCCACGCCATCAGCCCGATTTCAGTCTGCTCCTGATCCACCCCCCACCACCACTTGTGGGCTTCCCTGTTCTCTCATCTAAAGCTGGAGAAACAAACAAAACCCAGGCCCTCCTCAATCCTGCCCGCAGGAGTTTATTCTCTAATTAATGGATGCCCCGTGTGGTTCTCATGCCTGGCACCAGTCCTGGTGAACACATGAACCTTGACTTGCAGCTGCACCCTGGACTGGGACCTCGGAACTAATCCTGAGTCCGTTTCTATTCACTCACCCAAGTGTCTGTGGTTGGCCTGAAATCAATGAAAAATTCCCTTAAAAATCCCCACACCAGGGGCATCATCAAAACTCAAAAATCTGCCTTCTGATTTCTCTTCTTGATTCCCCATTCAAGCTCTTAGTATGAGGTTTTCATTGAATCCACTCTTACATGGTGAGGCTGACGACAGGCCTCATAGTGAGCTCTTTGTGGTTCAGTGGTGGCTCGCCCAGGTCTAAGCCCTCAGAGAAATTCCCCAGAGGTCAGAGCATAGCTAAACTGTGCGGAGGGCAGAGAGGAACCTTGGGGCTTTCTAGCTGGTGAAAGGCTGACTTTCCCACAGAGAGGAGAGCCCCATTGTTTCCGTCCACGTCCTCTGCAGAGGTGGAAGTGAGTTGGGCACCTCGGCCCCTCTCATCCTAACCTCTTCATACCCATAGTTCTGGGAGCCCCATCACTCCATGGCTGGTGTGTAGGGGTTGCTGCCCATCTAGGCCAAGTGCATTGCTATTATTTGATTTGCTGTCATTGTTTAATGATGCCAGACTTAAAGCCGCAGATTTAGGACAAGTCCATGAAAGGTGGAGCCTAGTACAGCCTGATGAAGAAGTCTTACCCTGTATCAGTGCAAACCCTGTGCCTAGCACTTCATCCTTGTAACATCCCAATTGGGTGATATTGTCACGGTCATCTTAGAGACAATGAAACAGATCCAGGGGCAATGGTCATGATCACTAGGGGGTGGTAAAGCCAAGACTTGAAGCTGTGTTTGCCTGAATCTGGAATCCATGAGCTTAACCGCCTGGTCAGTGGTTTTCAAAGTGTGGTTCCCGGACCAGCCTTTAGCAGCATATCTGGAACTTGTTAGAAACGCACATTTGCACCTCCGCCCCTGACTTACTGAATCCGAAACTTGAGTGGTGTGGGACCCAGCCATCTGTTAGCCGTACAGGGGCGTCAAATGCACCTGCGCTGTGCTACCCAGGTCCCCACTGTCTTCGGTAACAATCCAAAAACCTGGAAGAGAGAAGAGGCAGGAAGGAAAGAAGAGAAAGGGAGAATAAAGGGGAAGAGAAAGCAAAAGATGTGATAGAAAGGAGGAATTGAGTTCAAATGGGTCTTTGGAATGGGGCTAAATTCAGTAGGAAAAGCAAAGTACTCCAGTGAAGCCTAGAGGAAGGCCTGCCTCCCTTGGCTCCCTGGCAGACTCAGGCATTTTTGATGTCTTTATTTATTCATGACCAAGAGGATTCCGATTCATATATTTGTGAAGATGGCTGACTGTATAACTCATCATTGTGGTCAGCATATTTCATATTCGGGAGCTTGGTTGTACATACAGGTGAAATTCAACTTCCACAAAGAGAAGAGGTGGCTGCACACAGTGACAGACCCAGGCACTGCTGTCATTGGCTTTCCCTAGCTTTCCTAAGAGGCTTCTGCAAAGAACCAAAGGGGCTGACTTGCCCATGTTTACCGCGGCTAAGCTTCACCCCATGGTGAAGCCACCCCAAGGGAGGCAATCTCTCTGCTCAGAACCCCATAGAGCCATGGAAAATTCCATGTGGGGGGATGGGTACATCACCAGGCAGGAGTCAAGTTGCACGTTGACAGCTGAGTCTGATGAGTGAAATGCGGCACCTGCAATTTCCCCTAAACACACACCCCCTCACTGCTAACCACTGACCTAGCAGCAAGAGCAGCAGCATGACCTGGCCGAGACTTTTTAGGCTACTTTCTCAAGATTCGCTTTTTGATACCCCTGTGAAGCTTCCACAGAGCCAGAGGAGCCAAAGTGGCAAAAACAGAGTCAAAGGAGGAAGGCGAGCATGAAAATACATGACATTGCACTCTGGGACTCAGGTTGCTTAGGGGAGATGGGTCTGGGAGCTGACTTGGGCTTATTGATCTGGTTCCCAGATCCAGCTCGCACAGACGGCGGGGGGGCTTTGTCTGACTGAACCAGCCATAGCTGGCTGGGCCACTAGCAGTTTGGTTAGGGTCCTTGGTCCTCCTTTGCAAGGCTTAGCTCCATCCTCATGACAGGATTTGATGTTTCTCATCTTGTAGGGGAAGGTCTGGGCTGAACAGAAGTTTAACTCTCAGCCCATGTACACACCAGGCGAGGTTCTTGAGAGCCCCCAGATAACGCCCATCCTGCTCCGTGCTTCACCTTGGCCTTGGCTGCTCTGGCCTGTGACCCATCCAGAAAGGGCACCGTGTCTAGAGTCTGGGCTGGTTCCTTGAATCTTTGTGAGCTATTCTCTGCCCATCCAGAGAGATACAGTGCTTGTTACTCTGCTTACCTCACAGAGAGAAAGATTTCAGAGTCCAAAATTCTCTTCCTTTCTCCTTAGTATGGCCGAGGGTATCCTGGCACATGCAGGGCAAGAAAGACAGCCATGCCCATGACACTCCTAGGTTCCATGGGGCTGGGGGCAGAAATGGAGCTGAGTGGCTGTTACAGTCCTCTGGGTGTATTACACAAGTTGTTTCTGTTTGCCTCGGTGTCTTCTGGGACTGAGTTCTACTTGATCATTTTGTAATTAGCCACTAAAAGTCTTGGTTCGTAACTTTCAGTACAAGGATAGTGAACACTCACACTGTTTAACCACCATGTTAGGGTTTATCAAGTGAAAATTACAGACAAAAAACAGTATGCATAGCATGATTTCATAGGAAGACACACAAAACTCTCTTTCTCTTTCTATATGTATATAGAAATAACCCCCCCACACACACAGGCACACACATACCCCCAAAGAAAGTCTAATACCAAAATGCTAAGTGTTATATGGACTTATAGGTATTTTTAAAATATTCTATACTTTTGTTTAGTCTTCTACAATGAATTTGTATAACTTATGTAACAAAAAGAAATAAATGTACAAAGAAAATTCAGCATAAAAAGGTGACGCAGTCATAATTACATCTGTATCACAAAGTTATTGTGAAAATTAAATGAAATAATGCCTTTAACATACTTAGCACCTTCCATGACACATTGTTTAAAAAAAAAAGGCAAAAGCCTAACATCCTAACCATGTGCCAAGCACTATCGTAAATACCTTTCATGCATTAACTAGTTTCAGCCTCACAACAACCCAATGAGATAGGCTACTATTACTGTCTCGATTTTACAGATGGGGAAACTGAAGCACAGAGAAGTTAAGTAGTTTGTCCGTATGACAGAGCCAAGATTTAAACCTAGATACTCCAGGTCTAGAGTCTATGCTCTTAGGCACACTGCTTTACTTTTTTATGATGAATCCTAACTGATCAATTATCATGAGGTGCTGTTTTTTTTTTTGTTACTAAGGATTTATCCAGCAGAATGCCAAATAGCAGCACACAGCTGCATAGGAACCATGGCAGTGCTATCTAACCACCAGCTCTGCAGGCTGGGGTGGGAGGGGTCCTGATTTGTAGCATTTTTCAATTTCCATGGTGCAAAACCCCACCATGACCATGATTGATTGCAAGTTACCAACATGAAGTCACTGAATGAGGAGTTGGGAAGAGATGTGCACAGTCAGCTCTTGTAAGCTGGCAGCGTCCCGATCCGGCACACCACTGGCAGGCCACTCTGCAGCTGCTCAACACAGCCCCTCCCTGCAGACGGGACCTGTGCTGTGCCAGCTGTCCAGAGCCTAGAGCAGCCTCCCGGCAGCAGGAGGAGCCAGGCCCCAGGGGCAGAGCCAGGCCCGGGCTCTCCTGCCATGTCGTTTCTTGATGGAGCTTTAAGGCTGAGTCTCTGTGCGATTGTCCAGTGGCGGCACCTGTCCTATGAACCAGCAGGACCAGCTTCTAAAGCCGACAGCCATCTTTAAAATGCAGATTTTTAATGGTATCTTTTTAGTTACGTTCCATTTTTAAAAAAAAAAAACTCTGTCTATATATAATATAATTGTAATAGTAATGAGTGTGGTAATAATTGAGCAGACTTTCTAATGTGCCAAACACAGTGTTAAGTAAAATGCCATAATCTCATCTAATCCTCCAAGAGCCTTATGATGTAGGTATTATTGTCTCCATTTTACAGATTAGGAAACTGAGGCACAGAAGTTAAGGAGCTTGTCTGTCTTCATAACTAATAAGAGGAGGAGCTGAGATTTAAATACAAGAGAAAGATCTGGAAGGCCAAGCACCTATCTGTTTAACAGAGGTTTACCTGTGGGGCAGTGTGATTCACACGTGGGGATGCTCAATTTTTACTTTATGTATTTCTGTACGTTTTGAGTTTTCACAAAGATCAGTGTTAACTTTTGCAATTTCGAAAGAATAGCAATCAAAATAATTCTGAGTTCTGAGCTTCCTCCCACCCTTTCCTTGTTATCAATTCCAGACTGAGAAGAACAACAAATAGAATTCTGGCCTCCTCTTGCTGTAGCAGTAACATTTTAGGATCGGTGAACGTATGTGGCTTTGAACCTGATCAAGTCAAAGTTAGAGTGAAGGACGGAAAGGTATGTGTGTCAGCCGAGCGGGAGAACAGGTACGACTGCCTGGGATCGAAAAAGTACAGCTACATGAACATCTGCAAAGAGTTCAGCTTGCCGCCATGTGTGAACGAGAAAGACGTAACCTACTCCTATGGGCTCGGCAGCTGTGTCAAGATCGAGTCTCCATGCTTCCCTTGCACTTCTCCCTGCAACCCCTGCAACCCCTGCAGCCCCTGCAACCCCTGCAGCCCCTGCAACCCTTGTAACCCTTGCAACCCCTGCAGCCCCTGCAGCCCCTGCAGCCCCTGCGACCCCTGTGACCCCTGCGACCCGTGCTATCCCTGTGGAAGCCGATTTTCCTGTAGGAAGATGATTCTGTAAAGTGTGTGTAGGAACGTATGTAGAAGTCAGGTACTCCAGCCAGGCAGCTCTTCCAGTGTTTCTCTTCCCCTTCCCATGGCCCATGTTGTTCAAGTACATAGGAAACTGAATACATAACTGCAATCTGCTGGTGTTATGTGAAAGTCTTTTTGTTGAACCCACTATGGGAGCTCTGGAAGAATTAACGGATGGGAGTGGAAGAAGAGATGATAAGATCCGCCCTCCAGTGCCCTGCCCCACACCAACTACTTCCAGGGGCATCCCCAGACACTGTTTTTCCAGATGATCCAGTGAAATGGCCTGGCCCAGAAACCGAACTGTCAAAGCAGAGACAGAGCAGTTAGGGTTGAAGGCACACACTTTTTCACAGCTATCACAGCAGGGAGTTTTGGAGAGAGAGTGACTCCCCAAGCACAACGCAGTGGAGGTTTTTACTGGGCAATAACCAGAATAAAAAAGTATGCGGCAGGGGAGTGAGGGGACAGGGAAAGCACGCTCACTGACCGAGGGTGGAATGACCATGTGGCTTGACTTTTTCAACATTCCTGTCATTTGGGGGTTTGGCCCTCTCTAGTTCAGGGTGGTTTGTGACTTCTTCAAGATTTATTGCAACTATCTCCTTTTCTCAATTCCTGAAACTGCTTTTAGGCATAGAAGTTCAGTTCAAAGTTTAGGAGTGGAAAAGTACAGCTTTCTTAAGATGGTAGAATAGGTCGCCTGAACCCATGAACACAGCCACGAGCCTTTCTTCATCACCAGGACAGAAATAAGTGTAAAGGAAGAACAAGATGACGGGGAGGGATCAAAGTGAGAACACTGGCTGGTTTCAAACCTGACTCTTAGAGGGAACATAAAACCCTCCAGTTTGTAAAGCGAGTCTATTCACCAGTCTCACCTGCACGTGGGTTAAAGTGGTGGTTCTCAGCCGTGCATAGGGAATCACTTCGGGAGCTTTAAACATATGGATGCCAAACAAAACACACAAAACGAAACAAAAACAAACCAAAAATTAAAAAATTTAGGAAGACAAAAATGTTTTAAAAACCAGATGTCTGGGTCCCCTCTCCAGAGTCTAATGTAATAGAGTTGAGATGCAGCCTGAGCATTATGACTTTTAAAAGCTTCCCCAGGTGACTCAAGCATGCAGCTAAGGTTGATAAGTTCTAGACAGGATCTTAAAGCTCTCCCAGCCTTTCTTGAAAACCTTCCTTCAAGTTCAAGGTTGAAGAATACTGATGGTTTTGAGCCCACCCAGAAAAAAAAGAGAATACTGATGGTGATAGCAAACATATTTTGCTTTTAATTAGGGAAGTAATGGCCCTCTAATACAGGTGTCAATTAAAAACGTTGAACATTTCAAAAATTTAAGTTACCCTTAAAGTGTCTTGCCATGTTTTGAAATACATAGTTATAAATATTTTATTTTCTAAGTTATACATTTTTTGAAAATGATTATGAAAAAATTTCACCCTATAGAGTCATGGGATCCCACTGGGGTCTTAACCCCTTGAACATGTAGAAGCCTCTGTCCTGTGGAAAGTGCCATTCCAGGGCACACTCCTAGGAACAGTTCATTCTTTTTTATTCACCCGCCCACTGACCCATCTGCTTATCTGTCAGCCCAAGCAATTCATCCATCCATCACCCAGCCAGACAGACTATCATTTTAAATGCCAGGTACTATGCTTTGCAACAGGGGGTGAAGAGAAAAAGTACCCTTTTCACAAATGCCTCAAATTAAATTCAAGAAGAGGTACTGTGGAGGAAGTTGGGATGGAGGGTGGAGAAATCCCCAGAAACTGAATTTACAATGGCTAGGAGAGGCCAGAGGGCCATTCCAGACTGGCCTTAGGCATTTCCATGGTGTTTATTGTTGACATCACTGCTTTGTATGACACCTCAGGGAAGCCAGAGCCTGGCCTTGTCTGCTCACCACCCTCACAGGGAAAGACTTCCTAGAGAGACAAGTGTTTAGCCACTGAATACTTGCTCTGGGTGACACACAGTGCCAGGAGCTATTGTCAATAAGTACCTTTCCAGGAATTCTGTAGGTGAATGCAAGACCAACCCTATGATATAATTGGCAAAGCATTTGGCAGTTTGTGATCAAGAACTAAATTGTAGGGTGTGGATGTTAAGTGCCCTCCAATCTCAGTGAAGGGCTGTGGCAGGTCGGGCTTGGGTGTGGGCCCTGTCCGAGGCCTTGAGGAAAGACACATAGCAGGGCTGATTCCATGAGCTAACTGGGTTCCTGCGAACAGGGAGGAAGTAGACACAGGGAGAAGAAAGAAGAAACATTTAGCACTCTGGGAGGCTGAGGCTGGAGGATCACTTGAGGTCAGAAGTTTTAGACCAGCTTGAGAAAAAGCAAGACCCCATGTATACTAAAAATAGAAAAATTAGCTGGGCATCATGGCGCATACCTGTAGTCTCAGCTACTTGAGAGGAGAATGGCTTGAGCCCAGGAGTTTGAGGTTGCTGTGAGCTAAGCTGATGCCATGGCACTCTAGCCCAGGTGACAGAGTGAGGCACTATCTCAAAAAAAAAGAAGAAGCATTTGCTGTTTCCAAAATTATCTTTGGCTGGTCAAATGGATCCCTGGGCTTGGACAGCTCTGTTGTAGCCTTTAACACAATTTTGCAGATCAGGATCCAACTATAAACACTCTACTCCATCTACCTGGATGGGAGACAGGAGTCGGGGGTGCCTCTTGAAGGGACAGAGGCTAGAAATTGGCCGAGATGAGAACTGGAAGATGAGGGAGGCTCTGAGCTGTCCAGCACATGCATAATAAATGAACTTACAAATCAGGCAGATATGCTGCCTTCTAGTAAAGACTGTAGAAATAAGGTTGGAGAGGAGGATAATTGCACTTCTTAGTGTTCACAAAATGCATTCTAGAGCTGAAGAGCTATTTAATTGTATCATGAATTAAAATTTTCTCAGGTTTAGGATGTAGGGGGATTCATACCCAGTGGCTATCACATATTGTTTGATTTCTTTCAAAACTCATGTAGTGGTATTTCATAAAATGATATTAAAGATCCTCAGTTGACTGTTCTTCAGTCCTTGTAAAATAGTTTCATTTAGTGAATTGTTGATGTCCCCAGAACTAGTGGTATAATTTCCTACACAGAAATTCCTTTTTCCCTCTCTGTCTCTGCCTCTCTTTCTGCTTCTCTCTCTCTCTCTCTCTCTCTCCATCTCTCTCCATCTCTCTTTTTCTTTCTCTCCCATTGTGGTGCCTGTGAGTGTCACAGGCTGGAAGTTTGGGACACTCTGATTTAGCCCTTTGGCTGAGGACATCTAACTGAAAGTTAAACTAAAATTGATACTGAAACCAGAAGACTGGGTTTGTAAGAAAAGTATGCAGGGAGGGTGTTGCTGGGTGACCCAGATGAATTCCAGTGAAGTTTGTAGGGTTTTTGGCCTTGACACAACACAGTTTTCAACAGAGGCCTGGATAAGTCACATGGTTTGTGATCTGGGCTGGAAGATCGACTCAGAAGTTATCCTCGGGGAGCAACTGCTTTTAATGCTAACCCAGAAGCACTTCTTTCCTGGCTAGAGATGTATAGTAAGTATTAGTTCCTGTCTCTAAAGATATAAAACAAAACAGATACATCCATTGCTTAGGCCTCTGGACCCCGATGAATGTATAAAATTTGACAGTCAGACTGGGATCCTCCTCTCCCTAAGCTAAACCAAGCCCTGGTACCCGCCTTAGTCACGCAAAGGTCAGCCAACCCGGTGGGTGTACTGCCACCCCTTGCAGGCTTGGAAACCTGGCTTCGGACAGATGACAGAGCCTGTGATTCCAGGGCCTTTGGTGTGCTTCAGAGAACATGCCAGTGGCAGGAAGAGTCCTGGAGCCAGAAAGTCAGGCAAGGTGCCTGAAATCCAGCAGTCACTGGTCCACCACACAGAATCTCTTGCAAGCTGGTCACCTTTCTCTCTGCACAGCAGAGAGCACCCCCAGTGAGATGCAATGACCCCACGTGGCTGGAATAACATCGCTCTCGGTGAGCTGGGGACCACCACGCATCAGAGTATCAGGAATTTCTAGTGTTGAAGGTTCTAGGGGAAGATAGCCCTTCTTTTCAACTCCAACATCAGCGATGACTGTATTTGCATACACCAGACTAAAGGAAATAGTCTAAAAAGACTTTTACTCTCTGGTCTGTGAATTGCGGGGGAAGGTGTAAACCATTATGTTATGCTCATGAATTTTGTAGGTCAGAAATTCAGACAGGACATGGATGGGATGCTTCGTTTCTGCCCCATCTGGGAAGGCCCAGAGGGCTGGAATCTTCCAGAGCCCTCTTCATTCACTATCGGACACCTGGGCTGGGATGACTCCAGGGCTGAGCTAAGCTGGTGCTCTGATCCGGTTTATGATTTTAGATGAAAAGTCATAGTGGTGTAGAAAACACCATACTTTATCATACACATAACTGCTGTTATTAAAAACAATACAACATAAAAAGAATCACAATATTCACCATTAAAAATGTTTCCACTAATAGAACATTTGGAATTAATACAGCTTTAGAAAAAAATACAGTTGCCACATCTGTGGACATAAACTACAGTCGGACACAAACAAGCTTTGTTCACTATTTCTTTCCAATTATTTTTGTGGTTATTAAAAAAACCATTTTAATTGAAATGGATCAAGGCTTAGTGTTGGTTCTATAAATATAATGAGGATGTATTCCAGATTTTCTGGGACAGTCAAGATTTCAGCTGACCATATCCTGGTTTGGGAACAGGGACTGTGGTCCCCTCGTGTTTTCTGTGCGTGGTCAGGGTCTCCCGCTCGAGGTGGTAAGGAGCCAGCACAGATCCTTCAGATACAACTAAAACAGCGACAGCAGAAAGGGTACAAGGACAGCAAGACATCGGAGACAAGCTGGCACCCTTGCAGAATCGTGCAAAGGTGGAGGAAAGCAGGAGGCCAGGATTTGTCTGAGCAAAACAATACATTAGGCGACTCTCTT